CGTGTGTGACTACAACTTGATTCCATGTCTATGTCTCAGACACTTGTTCTCTTTTGGCTGGAGGCCAGGGATTGCCTTTTGCTTCATCTTCATATTTTCCTAGGTTTCTGCAGGTGAGCAAGTTGTGAGGTCCCATGTGTGTCCCACATTGGCTACCCATCCACAATGTATAGGGATATGTTAGGTATCTTGGTTTCTGCTAACCCTGGTTCCTCAGGAGGCAGTGGGTTGCATGGATGGCTTTTCTAGACATTCATGGCTTCTCTAAGACATGGCTTGCCCTGGATACCTATGGGAGAGTTCCAACGATGGCTGGAGTGCTTACTGGGGCTGACCTGACTGATTCTCCCTCTCAGTGCTGCCTACCCACTGGAGAGTCCTGATGGCAGCTGGAGTGCACATGGTGGCTGGGGTCTTTCCATTGTTTTGAAGGAAAATTATGCCAGATAGGTTAATCTGGAAGTTGTTTGCTTTTACGGCTTGAAATATCTTACTCTGAGATTTCCTGGCCTTTAAAGTTTGTGTGAAAAAGTCCGCGATAGTTCTAATTAATAATAATAATAATAATATAGTTATATAATTAATATAATTATAATATTAATTCTAATAAACTTTAGAATTAATGTGATTATTTGTCTGACCACTTTTAAAATTCAAGTTTTTTTTATTGGAAATTTGGCACATTAATTAAAATGTGTTTTGAAAAGGTTTTTTCCTTTATAGTTGGTTGATGTTGTATAAACCTTGCTTACTTGTATGCTGAATTCTTTTTTCATGTTAGTGAAGTTTTCCATTATAATTTCTCTAGATGAGCTGATTATTTCGTATGTTCTATCTTTCAGTTTCTCTTTATCTCCAATTAGACTTATGTTGTCCTTCTTAGTGTTTTTAGTAGCTATTGGATGAAGTTTTCTTCTTTTATTTTTCAATGAGTAATTCATCATAATGTACCATTTTGTCCTTGATGTTAGAAGCTGTGTCTTCACATTGATAATGTCTGAAATTTATGAACTCTATGAAGTTTTTATAATCTGTATTGCTGTCTGATATCTTTCTGAGAATTCTATAGATTTGTTAACCTTATTATTTATGTTTTGAACCATTTTGGCCAGATCTTCCAATTTTTTATTTGTTTTCTTCAAATTTGCATTGGTCATCTTGTATGATAACCTTTTGGGTCATATTATCTTTGAATACACCAAATTCCTTTTACTCTTTTTTAATCAACTCTTAGATCTACTATCTTTTTTTTGCTTTGCTCTCCATTTGTGGCCTCTGGATCTGCCTTGGGAGAGGTGGTAGAACTTTGTGATCTTTTGTTGCCTTGTTCATGTTCGGAGAAATATGCATATCTTTTTGTTTGTTAGTTTTCTCTTTTTCTTGTTGCTGCAGGTCAAATTCACTTAGAATGAGGAGAGCTTGTAAGTTATATGAAAGTCTTTTTAGTAAAATACTGCCTTCCCATGATGTTTTCAGCTTTGTTTGCCCAGAGATATTATTTATTACATCAGTTATTTAATTTAAGTGGTTTTGACTCTGATCTTGAGGGTTTTTGTTTTGTTTTGTTTTGCTTTTTATCTGTACCAGGGATCTAACTCACGACTGCCTGCTTGCAAGGCAGGTGCTTCTGCCGCTGAGCTAAATCCCCAGCCCCGGTCCTTGAGTTTTGAGGGAAGAATTACTTCTCATTATAACAGCAGCTATAGATGCTATCACATACCATTTATATGTGGTAGACTTTCCATTTATACTTTCCTCCTTTATTAACACCCTTTGCAGCCCACATTCAACTGTTATTAGCAGTTACTCTATGATGTGGGAAAAGAAGTACAAGAGAGAGATTAAGGGATGGATGAAAGACAAGCATAAATTTATGGGGGCAGGTATATAGGAGGCAAAGTAATAGTTAAAAATAGATATAGGATCAGATTCTGTTGCAGGTACTTTATCTGGATTAAGCGTTTAGTGTTGGGGGTTTAAAAAGATATTTGTGGTGGAGAGGAAAAGATGTAGGAGCAGGGAAGTGTACTTAAGGATTGAGAAGATCTACGAGGTTGTCAGAACCACTTGTGCACTTGTCAAGTGAAAAAAGAAGCAAGGAAAGGCAAGGGGCTAGATAAAATCAGGAAGGGCAAAGGGAGTACAATAAAGAGGACAGAAGGTTAACGCAAGAGAAGCTAGGAGTGACTGACAGAATAGAATGTGGCAACTGAAGAATTTCAGGTGAAAAATTTATAAAGTGGGAAAACCAAACATAAGAAAACATTATTGTCATGAAATGTGAGTTCAAAAGAGTAGATAGGGATAGCAAAAGAGGGTGCAAAAAAAACCAAGTAAACCTAAGAAATATATATGTCTATATGTATATGTACATATATACATATAGACATATATATAAGAAATATATGTCTAATTATATATAGACATATATATTTGATAGAAAAAATATACATATTCAACAGTAACTCATTTAAAATACTCCAACAAGAGAATGTGCACATGACTGCCTTGGCAAAAAGCCTGAGTGCTCACACACTTCCTTAGTTACACTTTTACTGCGTCAACTGCAACAAAATCACCTTTCTTTTGTACTCCAAAACCCAGACAAACCCAGTCTCAGGAATTCTGTCTGCCAGTTCGTCACAGAACCTGACACTCTCCTTGGTCTTGATTTAAGCTCCAGCTCCCCCTCCCACCCCCACCTGCCTAAGGGTGGAAACTGCAGGCAGGTTCACTTGCAGGCAGGGAGCCACTGAGTTGGGGGCATACTTCTGCTAGGCTGGAAGTCCTCAGGACTTTATGGATGCTTTCACACACCGTGGGGAGGTCTGCAGGAGAGACGATGGTTGTTACATAACTGTGGCAACTGGAGACACTCACCCTCAGGTGGCGACCACAGGTTCTGCAGGTTAGGGTGACGCCTATAGGGATCCATTGTCTCTTTTTGCCCATTTATGCCCATTCTGCCTGTGGAGAAGTTCTCAGAACCTCCGCCTTCAGTGACTGCCACTGAGGCTGCCTCTGGGCTGCAGTATTCTCTCGTGTTTGTAAGAGGTGATAGGACAAAAGGGCTAATATATACAAATTCTCTGACCTTAAGAATGCAGTCTCCTCAGTGCTCCTTTGTTCATTCCTTCACTAAGAACACTCTCAGATTGGCTACTTCCCCGAGGAGCAGGGGCTGGAACAGTGCTGCTTTAGTTCTTCTGCCCCCCCCCCCTCAGTGATCCAATTATTAAATTAGATCAACATGCATCATCTTTTCAACTAATGTTTTGATTCAGGGTGTAAGGCCTTCCTCTACTACAGTGTACTTGTAGCTTCAGTGAATCCTTTCTGAGCACCTCTGATACCTCTCCAGTCAACCCTATGGGATCCAATATGATGTATTTAACTCTTTTGGGAAGATACCTAGAAGAGGAATATCTAGATCAAATGGAATTCTGTTTTAAGATGTCTTTTAAAGAAATCTCCATGCTGACTTCTATTGTGTTTATACCAATTTAAAGTTCTACCAACAAAGTTCCTTTCCCCCCTGTAGCCTTGCCAGCATTTGCAACAGGCGAATTTAAGTGTCAAGAGATAGGAGGTGTATGCAGGGTGGGACTTAGTGAAGCTAGTAATGAGTTGACAAGTGCAAACAGTCAAATAGTCAACTGAGTGCTCTTGGAGTGTGAATATAGGAAGGTGGTTCACAAAGTGGGGCTGGGCCAGAAGTACATTCAATGAAATAAGGGGGTTAAAAAAATAAAGGAATAAATTCTGCTTACACAGAGTATTTCCACCTTTCAGAGTTTCAGCTCAAAAGCAACTTCCCACTGAGTTAATTCTTTCCTCATTTTGTCAGGAGTGATGGTGCATTCCTGTAATCCCAGAACTTGGGAGGCTGAGACAGGAGAATTGTCCTGACTTCGAGGCCATCCTGGGTTACATAAGGGAGTTCAAATCCAGCCTGAACTACATACTGAAACCTGTCTCCAAAAAATCCCAATATTTTCATTGTTTCACCTCTTTTGCTTTTTCTAACATTGTGTACACCTTGCTCATACTGCTTTTATAGCACTCACCACTTTTTGCTCTATTTGTGGACCTCTGTCCTTGTCTCTTGGAATGTATACGCTCTGTCAACAGTTTGTTCATTGCCTAGAGGCCCAGCTCCATTCCTGGAATACACAGGTGCCAGTCAGTTTTTGAATAATGAACAGTGAGTGTCATGGTGTGGAATAAATAGTACAGACTGGATCCATACTGCTTATTTAATGTTGATTGTTTTCTTATACTAATGGGCCCAAGGACTCTTGGTCTATGCGAGTTGGATAAATTGAAAAGATAAATTCTCCCATTTAAATTATCTCAAAACCCAAGTCCCAATAGGGTCTCAAAATATTTCAGATTATGTACAAAATAGAGGTCTTTCCCTTGGGTTGCCTAAAAATCTCATGACATGTTAGAAACTGTGACCCTTTGTTTTGGTAGACACTGGGCTTTGGGAAAGAAGCACTGCTTTCAAGGCCACTGAGACACTAAGAGGCATGCAAAGGATAGAAGAAAGTTCCTCCTTTTTCCATGTTGATTTCATTTCAGTAGGATAACAGCTTGTGTTTTGATTAGAGTTTGCCAAATGCTCTACTTAGTGAGGGTCTCCTATCCTGAAGAAGTTGAATTTTTCATACACAGAGACTAGTGAGGTCAACTTCTCGATTTTCATTCTCCAATAGTGTAATGAATTCTGACTCTTTCTGTGTGACCACTCTGGCCCACACTTCTTTTCTCTTTGGTTGAAGGACACATTATTTCTTTTCATTCCTACTGCTATTTTACTAGAAAGGTTTATAGTTGAGGGATGGGAGTAAATCTCAAATAAGGGACCACCTCAAGAGGCAAATAAATGCAATCTTACATAATATTTGTCTTCAGAGTTACTATCTTGGGAACAATAAGGGTTTTGTATTTGTCATAACACTTCTGATGATCTTTTAAAAATTCATTTATCCATACAGAGCCAGCTGTCTACATCATCATGAAGCAGATGACTGGTAGTGGGAGCTCCTGGCCTCTCTTCACTAAAACCTTAAGCCTCCAACCTTTCAGACATTCTGATTCTCTCCTTCCTTTGCTATTGAAGTATGGCTGCTAGAGAGGATCTCATATAGGTAATTTTCTTATTTGCATTAAGTTTCAATATCTTTTCCTATGATTATTTATATATTGTCTTTTCTCCATTTTTTGGTAAATTACTTTTTATACCATGCATTTTATCCAGTAATCAAAAATAATTAGGGGGTCTTAGTTTCTTTTTACTTGTCTCTGAGACAAAATACCTGATGCTCAAAGTTGGGAAAGGAAAAGTTTATTTCTTACAGTTTCTTGGAGGTTTCAGTCCATACTCAGTTGGCTCCAAGGCAGGATGGCATGGCAGGGACACAGTTCATGACAGCTACAAACAGCAAGGCAGAAACCGGCAAAAGAGCAAGATATACCTTCTTCCTGCCACTACATTGTATGCTGGCTCCACCCTTATCTGGGTGTAGCACTGACACCGTCAATCCAGCGCTAGACAACGAGCCAATCACAAATGCATAATGCAAACAGCTGAGGCCTGGGGGCCACAGACATAAATCATGACATTCCACCCCTGGCCCCCATAACTCATGTACATCTTTTATACAAAAGATGTTTAGTCCATCTCCAAGAGTTGCCAAAGTCCTAACAGTTTCAGCATTGCTGAAAAGTCCAAGTCCCAAGTTTTTTCCAAGATCTGTAGCAAACTCTTAACTAACCCCCTGTGCAAATGAAACAAGGTTAAACATTTCTGAAATGTAAAGGCACAAGATAAGCATTACCATTCCAAAAGTTACAAACAGGGGAATATAAAGTATTGGAAGCAAAGCAAGTCCAACATCCAGCAGGGCAAACATTAAGTCCTAGAGTTCCATGCTCAGCATTTGAAGCAATCTGGTCACAAGCTCCAAAAGGCTTGGGTGATTCCACCTCCACAGCACTTCTAGGGATTTCAGCTCCTGCAGCTTCTCTCTCAAACCCTCTCCACTCACTTTTTGCAACTTTCCTTGGATCATCCACGTTGCTGGCTTTTCCAAACTTCTGGGATCTCCATTGCACCTCTGGCTTCATCTTTACATCTTTACAAATTGCCCTCTCAGGGGCACACTGCTTGGCCTCCCAGACCCTTTGCAATTGAGGAAGAGGCCGTCTTACCCTCAGAATTTGTGCATTTTCCTTGCACCTAAAATCAGCACCATGTGGATGCCGCCAAGGTCTGCTGCCAGCTGGAGCAGTAGCCAAGATTTTCTCTCTCTTGACTGTAGGAGTCAATTACCTGAATCACTGAGCTTTGTGAACCTGATTGTGTAGAAAGGCTTCTCTATGTTGCTGCCATTCTGTAACCTCATGTGGTTGCCACCATTCTGGAGCATCATGTGGTCTCTGCCACCATTCTGGAGCGTGTTGCTCTTCAGCTTTCCCCTCTGAGCAAATTCTTTCACTTTTGAAGTTTTGAGCCTGCAAAGGATGGAGACCTGCTGCTTCCTGGAATGCTCCCTGGCCATCTTTCCTATCTCACTGTTTCTTTTCAACTCTGTCTTTACAGTCCACAACTTTCCTGGAGTTTTCCTTTTGGCCAAACTCACAGCATTGTAAATTATCCTGCTGGGCTCTTTGCTCTTGATTTGCAACATAAAGCTGGCTAAAAGCCCCCAACAATAGCCATGCACAGCCTCAACATTTCACTGCCTTGAAATTTCCTTAGCCAGATTAATCAGTCCATTGCTCTTAGTCTCAGTCTCAAGCAAAGTCTCTGAGCATGAGCAAAATGCAGACAAACTTTCTGCCAAGCCATAACACACATTATGGGCAGTCCAACAATCAATGCAGTCCTTCTTCCCAGCAGAAACCTCCCAAGCCTGGTCTTTACCATCAGGCTTTCTGTCAGCCTTCTGGCCTCCTGAGTACTGACCAGAATCTCCTCTACAGAACAGCCTCAGCTGCTCCAGCTCTATGCATCCAGGAGACATGTCCAAACCTTTCCAAACTCTGCCCACAAGCCATTTCTAAAGCCTCTCAAAAAACATGGTCAAGTATAGACACAGCAACAACCCCACTCTCGGTATTGTTTAATATAATTTTTTGATCATTGATTCCTCAATATAGATGAGAAAAATAATTAGAGGAAGGATTGGGAGTTTGTCAACAAACCTCTGGGTATCTTTGCGTATTAGTTGTATATTTCATTTAAGTGCCAAGTTATGTAGAAGACTGAGAAATACAGCTCATACTTCCTAAAACCCGGTAAAATATCCTATAAATTTCAAAAACTAACAACTCAAAATCACAGCTTCTAGGAGCTAAGGATCATGCACAACATTGTCTCTACCTTCAGGGATGTTCTTATAATTTAATTGATTACTACATATGGAACACTTCTCCAAGGTAAGCAAATGCTGTTATGCTGTTGTTGAAGGCTGGATAACTATGGTATGTATCCTGAAATATGAGGGTGGTCCATTGGAGCCAGGAGCCAAGGACTGTGGCTGTTATTACAAGTTGGAAAAGGTAACTAACTGGATTCTTCCTTAGATCCTCCACAATGAATGCACCCTACTAGCTGATACCTTGATCATTTTAGGAGCTATGACCCCCAGAAGTGCAAAATAATAGTAGGTCACCAAGATTGTGATTGTTATAGCAATCACAGAAAGCAAATAGAGACACATCATTTTGACCCATAGCTCTTCATATCTTGGATGCCTATAAAAGGAAAAGCTGTACAATTACAGGGCTATACTGAGAAAAACAGAAAGGGATGGTTACTGGTAGAAGACAAGACTGGTCAGTCCATATATATAATTTATACAATAGAGATTGTGTAGTTTTGCTTTTCACCTTGAAATATAATCAAAAGATCTTTAATTTCTTTTAAAAATAAGAGAGAAGGGAGAGACAGAGAGAGACAGAGAGAGAGAGAGAGAGAGAGAGAGAGAGAAACTACCCAAATTTAATCCTGTGAATGTCTCAAATTTAATGTTTTTTATGGCAGACTAGTACTCTATTATGTATAAATGCTACATTTTTTATTCATTCATCTGTTCACTGACACATAGGACTCTTCTAAGATTTAGCTATTATGAATTGTGCATGTAAATATGAATATGTATGTATCACTATAATATTATGTCTTTAACTCTTTTAGGAATCTTACATGATACCACTACATCTTTAACTCTTTTACAAAGATACCTGGAAAGGGAATAGTTGTGTCAATGAAATTTCTAGTTGTAGTTATTGAGGAATCTCCATACTTATTTATAGTGTATGTATTAGTTTACATTTTTATCAACAATGCAGAGGAGTTCTTTATTTCCCTGCAGCCTTGTCAGCATTTGTTATTATTTGATTTCTTGATGGTGGCTATAATAGGAAGTATGGAGATAGGTCTTTCTCAAATGGGAAGAGGATCAAGAGATGGAGGGAGGAGCGAGGGGAGAAAAACAGAATGAAAAGAGGATTTAAGGTATATTATGTATATGTACAAACTACACACAAGGAATGTAAATATTATGTAATGTAAACATGAATTAATAAAAATAAATCAATAAAAGTCAAAACAAAACAAAGCAAAGTAAAATAAAACAAAGTCCCCAAACATCCTTTGTAACCATTACAGTTACTGTGAAATATGGTATTGGACCACTAGGTGGCAAGAGAGACAATGTTAAGACTTCAACTGCTTCACCGTTCTACTCTGAATCAAATTGAACAGCAAACAATTGCAGAATATAATTAATGTGTGAAATGCAAACAGGACGCAATAAATATTTCACATGGTTTGTTTTTGGCCTATGTATATCAACATATTCACTTAGTCTGTGTTTTCATGAGGCCAAATGAAATCCTGCCGACTCTTTTAAATAGTTTGCAGTGGCCCACAGAGGGTATGGGAAATATTTCCCATTTGCCCATGCTTTTTTGCATTTATAAACAGCACCTCCCTTAAAAAGCTCAGAAGCCTACCGCAGGGAATTTGCTTTATTGGTTTTATATGTTAGGTTATTTTTGTGGCTTCTCTTAGTATGTGTTCCTCTCCACCTTCATACTGTCCATGTGAGAGATGGCATTATATCTTGATTAATATTTAATTTACTTGTTTAGAAGATTTAAGTAATTTCCTCCCCTTAGTGCCTGTTTTCTCTTTGCTCTCAAGTTGACAACATGATTCTGCTTGATTACTGTTTTCCTTTGGTTTCTTTGTAGCATAGAATGGGTGGTTTTGGTGAGGAGGCAGAGATCATAAATAATAATGCTTAAACTTAAAGATGTCAGATGACTCATCAGCATGGCACTGGGTTCAAGAGAACAGAAAATCAGCAAAATGAAGGCTCTTCTTACTGAGCTGTGGAGAGTAGATATAAGGTGTGTGTGTAGTTTTGCCCAAATGTGCCAGGTTGGTTCGTAGGGGAAAAAAAGTAATGTAAAAATTTTCCTTTGCTTGTAGACATAGAGTGTGGGTCAAAAAATTGGATCATAGATTTTATTTTTCTGTAGGGTTGGGGGTCAAATCTAGGGCCTTGCACATGCTAGGGAAGTGCTCTTCCACTGAGATACACCCAGATGCGTACCAAAGCTTTTAACATACCTACGTCTATTTCCAATTTAGTAAATATTTGAATTTTCAATATTACCCCCTTTAACTTCTGTTATTATATATACCAGTATGATTAGTATTAAGAGACTTTTCGCCAGATAGTATATTCCTTTTTAAGGTATAGTATAACTAAGGTTTTTTTTTTCTTTTCTTTTTTGTATACATGAATCTTGCTGAGTATTTCATATCTTTATTTCTAGGGCTATCTGGAGTCGTCTTCCTCTCCCCAATCTACAGATACTCTTGGATCATCTTTAACTTTCTTCATATGAAAATCTTCTCTCCATATTTTCCAAATGTTGTGGTTTAGATCTAAAATGTCCCCTAAACCTCTGATCAGAGAAGGGCTTGATCAGAGGGGACACGTCACTGGCAGTATGATCTGGGAGGGTGAATTTTTACCCCCGGTTCCTTTCTTCTCTCTCTGCTTGCTGGCCACCAGAAGGTGAGCAGTTTGCTTTTGCCATACTGTTCTGCCATGGCATTTCTGCCTTGGAGCCGGATGACCATGCCCTGAACCCAATGAAACTATGAACTGAAATAAATTTTTCTTCCTTTAAGTTGCCTATGCCAGCTAATCTGTCTGAAGAGTGGAAAAGTGACTGATACCCTGAGGAATCAGTGGCCCTGCCCTCCATGTGCAGGTTTAAATGTTCATATACTGATCTAAAGCTTGTTGGGACATAGACATTTTGAACTATTATCTTCTCTTATATTTACTTTTCAAGTAAACTTTTATCATGTTAAAATAATTTTCAAATAAGTCATATATACACAATGCAATGTGTATAGTAAAAATAAACAAATGATACGCAATTTCAAAAAAACTCAAAAAGTATTTGTAAACATTTGCCGTCTATCATAATGCCAGCTATTCAATTTCTTTCCCTAGAATAATATACATGAACAATATTTGTTGTTCTCCAAAATGATGTATTTCCCTCATATAAATAATGGCATAACTTGTACACTCTCTTACACCCAATTTTTTACTTAATATGATAATAGTAGAAGTATATTACTCCATGTAGAAATACTTCATTTATTGTATAGAAGAACCACAGTCTATTAATGGATGGATAGTTGGTTTCCAGTCATTTGTTATTACAAATGTTCTTTGAATTCCTGCCTTTGTAAAAGCCTTTTTGCATATGTGGATTATATTTTTAGACTAAATTTCCTGAAAGAAAATTTCTGGGTCAAAGTGTAGATGCATTTTTAGTTTTGGTAAAATTGCCAAGCTATCCCCACTGAGATAAAAATAACTATTAATTCCACCAAAAATATGTGAGAGTGTTTATTTTCCCATACTCTTGCAACAGAACCCATTATTAAGATGCTTTAAATCTTTAACTTTTTTGGCTTTTAATAATTAACATTTTATTTTGAAATAGTTTTAGATTTGCAGAAATGCTGTGAAAAGAGTATAAAATTTTGTTTTTCTTTTTTTGGCAAATAACAATTGAATGTATTTATGAATTATAATGCAATGTTCATTATAGATACACCTTTTCAAATTATTCCTCTAGTATTCCTTACTGTTTCATCTAAAGTTAGTATTTTATATTACCATAATACATTTTTTAACTCTTATTTACTGGTAATACAATACATGGGTTTCAAGTAATGAGTTTCATTTTCACAGATTTGTTCACACACATAATATAACTTTGTTTATTTTCACGACCCCCATTGCTCTATTGTAGTTCTACACATTCTAGACTTAGATTTCACTAACGTTATTAGTAAGCATAAACATTTTTCATGTATTTAAGGGAAACATGTGTGTCCTTTTGTATCAGTTATCTATCGTTATCCATCGCTCACTATTGATAGGTAGGTGCACTTTGTATACCAAGGAAACTAGTAATTGGCCTGTGCTATATGTCACTATTTTCTCCATTTTATCTTTTGATTCTCTCTCTCTCTCTCTCTCTCTCTCTCTCTCTCTCTCTCTCTCTCTTTCTGTCTCTCTCTGTCTCTCTCTCTCTCTCTCTCTCTCTCTCTCTCTCTCTCTCTCTCTCTCTCTCTCTTGTACTGGGAATTTAATCCAGGATCTTTTCATTGAGCTACATCCACAGCCCACTTTCATATTTTATTTTGAAACAAGGTCTTGCTAAGTTGCCCAGATTGGACTTGAACTTGTGATCTTCCTGCCTCAGTCTCCTGGAGTGCTGGGATTAGAGGTGTGCACCACCACACTGGGCTTTATGTTTCTTGATAATTCCTTTTTTGATACAGGTTTCTTAGATTATATAGTCTGATTTGTCAGTCTTTGCTTTTATGGCTTCTGGGCTATATGACATCTTATTCTTTCCTACTCCACAATTATTTAAAAATTTTACTCACGATTTCTTCTATTATTTTATTGTCCTATCATTTCAGGTTTAAATTTTAATCCATTTTATGTCAATCATGCAGTAGTGATTTAACTTTCAAAATGTATTTTTAAAACATAATTTCACTCTAATTATGTAAATATGGTTGCTTATTGTAAAAACTTTAGGAATACTGAAAGACAAAATGAAAAACAACTCTTATCCCATTACCTAGCAATAAACACTTAATTTTTAGTAGTATCTTTATAAAATTTTACGTATATACAAACACAATTTTTATGTCTTACAGAATTGGGATCACTATATATGAAGTTTAATATCTGCTCTTTTCTCAACTTATTGTATTCCAAGAAAATTATTCATATCAAATGTGCTTACTATTGATGTATGAGTACTTTTGTTGTCTATCTTGGGTCATAACGTTTGCCTCTAGTTTGAGACTAAATTTGAAAGCTAGAAACTGTGTGCAAATGGCTCTGACACATGTTTAGATAATTTTATTTTTTGATGGCACCTAGTAAATGCTTATTGGTAATATCATGCTTTTCCTTTCATATTCAAAACCTTAATTAAAACTTAAGTGCCATATATCTAATTTTGAACTAACTCCATTCTTACATAATGCTCCAAGACTCATTCATAGTAGTACTGCATGCCAGGGAATAAAATTTTGACCTAATATCATTTACTAAATCACATCAAATCATTATTTTCTATGAATATTTTACTATTTCATTGATACTCCATATAATAAGTTAGTCTTTTAATAGTCATTTTAACAGACAATACAAACAGAAAATGGTGAGAAGAGATTTTATTGCTGATGAGAGAGTAATGAATGTCGTCATGGAACAAGAGGCATTTGGTATGAAACTGGGTGGAATTAAGAGATCGAGGTGGGAAGGACAAGACATTTTTGCCAGAAGAAAGCAGATGTACTAAAATCTGGAAGTGGAGATGTACCAGTTACATTCAATAGATTGCCCGTGGTCCAGTTTTGTTGGTGCATGAGTTGTGTGAGTGGGAGAAGGAGAGACTAGTTTTAAAATTAAGTTTGCAAATATACACTTTAATGAAGGCTTTGAAAGGCAGACTAAGAAGTGGGTATTATTTAAGCATTACAAACATTGAAAGTTAATTTTTATATGAAATTTTTAAACACATACAGTACAGTTAAACAGAATAATATAAATCCTCATGAAGCCATCACCCTACAGCAGCAATTGTCATCTCATGGTCCCTGTCGTTTAATCAAATGCCTCATTTCCTCCATATTAGTTTGAAGCAATTTCCAGATATCCTATCATTTCATGTATCATTTAGATACATGTGTGTCTAAATACAATGATCCTTTACAAAATGATAACCACTATACCATGTTCACACTTAAAATAACTCACAGTGTTTTTTGTTAATATGATTTAAGGGTTTTGAGAATGCAATGACATGACCAGTGTAGTGCTCAGTGCAGAAAGAGTACATTTGCTCCTTCTAGTATAAAATAATATTATTTAATTCAATGAACTTGATGTTTCATAGAGAGCTATCTAAGTGTAGATAACATAAATAATCCTTTTACGAGCAGTGAATGTTATTTGTCACTTTGCTGACACAGAATCATTTAGAGATTTTTTTTAAAGCTTGCAATTACGTCAGAAGCACAGCTTGGAAATGATGTTTCTCAGAAGGGAAAATGGTATAGTCACTTTTCAATAAAATAAAAGTGACAAACTAATTTTCTCAACCTTTTAAAGCCTTTTATAAAAATAACATGAGTGCATTTCCTTCAATCTTTGGCACCTTTGACTGGAACTGTAAAAGAAAGAGTTTTAAAAAGACTAAGGTTAAAGAGAGATAATGAAAGGAAAGGAAGGAAATAAGGAACTCAACACTGCAATAAATTATGCCCTTTTAAAGAAACTGCCTTATATTAGAATAGATTATTATCTGGGAATTGGTTAGAAAAATCCTGCTATCATGATGGAAATGTAATTGCACTGTGTTAGATGTTGATGAAGAGAAAGCCATTGAAACTCGCAGCCTCCTTTTTCCCCTGGGTGCCTTCATGCCTGTGACATTAGCCACCTGGAGCCCTGTTTGTTCACTTGCCCATCTGATAGAATATCCTATCTCTTTATTTCCTGCCCTGTGGAAAATTATTTTATTCAGCAAGTGACTGAATCCTTCTTTAGAATAAAAACCACTGATGTTTTTGAGACCGTGTATTTGCCAAAGAGCAAAGGCCTGTCTTAGATCTCTTTTTCTAGTTCTAAACCCGCTAGATTAAAAAAAAAAGAGAGAGAATGGAAGGTCTGATTTGGTTTGGTAGAGCAGAAGTTGTTTAAGATGGCAAATGGTTCCTTCATTTTAACTTTGTTTTCCGAAGACCCACAGCAAGCACGAGAAATAAAGCACCTATTAGAACAGCTGTTTCTACTGCTAAACTACAATGATAATTCAGCCCCTCTGAGAGGTCCCCAAATCATTAAAATCTAGAAGGACAATTGAACTTTGTGATTAGAGTCTGATGCTTATGCCTAGCGACTTTCCATTCAAGATGAATAAAAAATAGGATATGCACATTTTAAAAATTTATACTTCCTCTAAAACACAGTATTCTTAATGTGAAATAGAGGCTTCTGAGTGGAGGAGGTAAAACTTGGTATATATTTTATCTTTACTTGTTTTCTTGTTCTAATAGGTCTTGCTTTTCATTTGGAGGTTAATAGTAAGTTCTCTATTGTTTTGTTGCTATGTTAAATTTATGCAAACCTAGTTCACTTAGATTCTAAGTCTCACTTGTCCTTTTGCACAGCATGGAGATAAAGCCAATATTTCAACATACTATATAGGGTATAAACTATGGTAACATCCCCTTCATCTGAAGTTTAGATTTCCACCAAACTTAACTGGCCTTTCTGGAAGGTGGCCAGAGCCTGAAAGGAAACAAAGAAGGCTTTTAATAGAGCAAAATAACTCACAAAGACCGTGGACTTCACTCTGTAGGAGAAACATCAGGAGAGGCACTCAAAACCTAACTTTAATCAGTAACCTTATTTTGTACACAATTCTAATAGACTTCATTATCTGGCTTGCTGGCCCACAGCAAATTAGATGAGAGGCTATTAGCAGCAGGTCCACTGAGAATGATGAGAAACAACAGCCAGAAACTTGAATACAATGGTAGAAGAGAATTTTAAAACATGTATACAAAAATTGAG